CATTAATATCACTGATGACAGTTAAAGCTTAGGTGGATTTTTATATCAGAATCTCATCTTTGTGAAAAGTGTGCAGATAGGGGGTATTATTGAATATAAGCCCTCGATGTTTAAAATATATAAAAATTTTATTTCAACGTATACAAAAAATAAATCTACCTGCGTTACAGCACGTCGGGAGACGGGGAAGGGGGGGCCGGGGGGCCGCGGCGTAGCGTGACGTGGTGTGCGCGCCGGTCGCGCGGGGTACGCTTGGCGCTAGCGCGAGCGCGACGCGCGCGGTGTGGCGCGCTGACGCGGGCCACCGCGAAGCTAAGCAAATTTAATGTTTGAAAGAGAAATAATGTCAATTGACCTTATTTCCGTTGATCTTATTACCTGTCACCGGGCGGTGCCACGCCCCCTTTTCCAAAATCTATCTTTTTTTGCCGTAAGTACGGTATTGACAACATATGTTGCTGTGTCAAATTTCAGGACGTTAGCATAAGCTGTTCCAGAGATAAGCGATATGAGAATTTCAGTTTGTATGGGAAGTGCCACGCCCACTTTTCTAGTACCTACCGTTTTTCACCGCAAGTAGGGTATTTACAATCTATGCATCTGTGCTAAGTTTCAGTTCTCCATGGTACGAAATGAGAGTGAAAGTAGATAAATATGTGAAGAAATAAAAAAGTCAGTAAGTGAAGAGCTGAAAGTGTTGTGGGTGTGAAAGGTCGTGTTATAGTTAGCTCCGCGAAGTTTTTTAAATTCTGCGGTTTTATTAGCTTAACGCGATTTCAAATGCAAATAGCGATTCATATATATAATCGGAAAGTGAATCTTGCTAAATAGCAAAGTGATAGTGACACTAGTTTAAGCAAATCAAATTAAATTAAAGTATACTTTGTGACTAGGAAGAAAACGGTGAAAGTGAAGAGAATAGTGATAGGCGAAAAGCCGCGCAGCAGCGGCTTCGTGCTTTACCTCTAGTAAACACAACACATATATACAAACACAAATAACGAATTGTGAACCATAATAGACGCAGGTGTCGATAACACCGTGCGACAAGGCTTGGGACGTCGGCAAATAATTAAAAAACACTAAAAAGTGCAGTGAAGTGTCAGCCAAGAAAATGGGGGACTGCCATAAGTGCAAAGGCCTAATACACGGTGAGAGTGGAATCCGCTGTGAAGGTATATGCGGCAAAGTGTTTCACTGGGCAAAGAAATGCTCTGATCTCGATGAGTTCAGCAAAAAAGTCCTTGCGGACAATGCCTATGTGCGATGGTTGTCTCACATATATGCATAATATTGATGAGGTGTTGCGAAATATGAATATCTCTATAGAGAATAATAG